TGAGCTTCCTCCTCATTGACTTTTTTTTCAATCTAGAAGCATTCTGCATAAAACCAGGAAATATTGATGATGTATACGCTGCAATATTTCCTAAGATATTTTTGATTTATTGTTATCAATCTGTTACTGAAAGTTACAAAAATACTTGCTTATTGAAAGCAATGAGTTGTCTTTGGTTGAAAGATGTAAACCGCAATTTTTAATTTCAGCAGTGGCTTGCATATTTTCAAATGAAAACCTAAAACCTTTCAGAAAGGGACAGTAGAGGGACAGAGTCATTCAGAGTCACAGATAGTGTTTTGATGCCCTTGTATTTTAGCAGTAAGAGGGCTTAAGTTATGGAACGTTTTCCAGGAAGATCACTTTTCTTTAATATGCCTCTTTGCCAAAGGAAAAAACCTCCCAAGGCAAGGCTGCAGGTAATCTGATGCATACCTTACGTAGCCTGTGGCTGTCTTCGGAGCTGTCTGCTTTTTCTTGTCTGTCATCCCAAGGAACTTACAATACTGAATGGTCATCTCTGTGCGTGCTGGCAAGTGGCTGCAGAGGAAACAGGAGCAGTATTGTACAAGGCGAGACATGCTACCAGTATGTTTGTACTGAGTGAAAGGTTAATAAGTACATGGCCAAATCCTGCTCCAAGGCTGTTGAAGTTCCTGGAGTTTTGTTGTTCGTCTCTGAGATCAGAACTCTCTAACTCTGATAGAGAACAAGCCATAACATTTTTATTAACTGTTCTCCCACAAAATGCGGCAGAAAAATATTTAATCTTTTAACAAAAGTATGAGTCTAATTCATACCTTTTCATCTATCAAAAATTGTGCTAATCTTCAGCTTTACAGCAGCTTTCACACATAAAATGATGGGGTAATTTACAAAAAATTATAACTCATGGTGGTCCTAATTTTCCCTGTCTTCATTCAAAGAGAGTGTGAGTGGTATGATCACGCTTGTGGCTGGTGGTTATTATGCCTGGATGCTGGCGCATCTCTGCTTCCTAACAGCTGTTCTGGTGTTTTTTCTGGAGTTTCCATTTATGCTGTTTTGCTTCATTAAATAATCTTGATCTTAAACAGCAAATCAGAAATTACACTACACCATGTTTACATATTATTAAATACTTAGAGGTTATTATTTATTTTATTTTTTCTTTTCCAGCTGTCACATCCACTTAGGTGCTTCCAATGTTTTCTCTTGTCTTTCCTGTAGTCTTAATTGCCAGCCTAGCAAGGCTGGGGGTTGATTTAAACATATTTTTAGTACTGCAAGTGGGATGACTGTCATTTCACCGTAAGTTCTGCAACAGGGTTGTCGCCATGCTATACTTGGATCCCAGCTGCCCCAAGTCAAATACTGGAATACAAGAATACAAGTGTTGGTGTTTCCTAAACTTAAGTGTGAATCAATAACAGGAAACTGAAAATACACTGTCAGATTAACTGATGTCTTGAATTACTGGAACAAATTAACCATTAGTCAGGGACAGTGCTTTGCCTTACGGGTTTTAGTATTTTCCCTGTAAAGTGATGATTTTTCTTAGTTGAATGAAGAAGAAAACCAGTAAATGAGCTCTCAGGCAAGTAATAATACTCTGTTTTAAATAGCTTCAAATTACTGAAGGCTTTTAGGACAGTTGTTCCCTCCCTTAACCTTTTGGGTATCTCACTGCTTCAGCTGAGTAAGAGGAATTGCCATCAGTGACTTGGTAGATTAGTCATGAGATGTTGGAGTCTAGTTTAATGTTTGGTAAGAATTAAGAATTGAGATTTTGACTGAATACGGAGCTACCTGTATGGTTGAGATTACCGGTATCTGCTCTAGATGGGACGTGTTTCCTCCCGACCAGTTATGCATATGACAGGGGTTTGTTTTCCTTAATTGAAAAGATTTGACTGTTATTTCATGTTTTCAAGTGTTTGGATTAGAGATGAGAAGCACTTACATTTTTAGTTTTGCTTAAGAGAGATAAAAATAGATTGCTTATAGAGGAAACAGAAATAAAGGAATTAAAATTAAAAAAATAACGATGGTAGAAGTATTCGCAAGGATCATGCCTATTTTTATATTCAGTGAAAACAGCAAGCTATGGAAAGCCAATTTTCGCATTTGGTATTTATTGTAATGTTTTATTCAAAAATTCAGTTGAAGAGCTAAACAAGATAAGATGAAGTGACCTCTTCTGTTACCAAGCCATAGGAAGATAAAAGATAAAAGTCTCTTTTGATGTTCAGAGAATTAGGCAGCAGGTTACACCAACAATATTTAATTTTCTGGTATGTGCTAAAAGAAGTGGCACAGTATCAAGATGCAGCAAATGGGATTACTTTTTAAAAAAAAAAGTGTATTGACTTTAAAATGCTTGTTTAAATAATACGTACACTATGAGGAAAAATGAAGGAAACAACTGAGCCTGCAGTTATTGCACAAATTCTTACTGGTTTGTTGTGCTGTACCCTTGAGTTAGTCAAGGGAGCAATGTACAGTCTCACCCTGCTTTGCTGAGTGGCTGATGTCCCAGCACCATAGAGGGTAAAGGACAATAGAGCATCTTCCCTATAGCATATCTCCCAGTACATATTAATTTCTGTGTACAGAGAAACACCAATATATGTGTACAAAGGAGGGAGTGGTGAAAACAACCTAACCCTCTTTTTTTAGGATTGCAACTTTCAAACTCGACAGTCAATAATTTTATAATTAATCCTATCTTCTAGTGGAAAAATGGGGAAATGGCAATCTCAAGGACACTTACAGCTTACTCAAATAGTCGTGACCTGTTTTGTGTCCCCCAGTGAGTCTAATTTCTCTCCCCAGGGCGTCCTGTTTTTGTGCCACTCCAGCACGTTCTAAGAACTGAACAGCTTTCTTACAGAGCAAGAATATGGTGTAATGTATTGTGGGTGGTTTGTTTTCTCAGATTCATATTAAAAACACATGTGAACATTTATATGAGAAAACACAACTGAACAATGCAGTAACGCTGCTATACTAGCAGTTTATGAAATTTTGAAACTTGGGAATTTTGGTCTTTGGAGTGGTAGGTGAGATTTCTTCTCAGTATCTGCGCTGTTCCCATGCTCACTCTTATCCTCGCCTCACCACCCTGAATAGTCCCTTCCACTTGCCTTATTGCCCCTACCCATTGCAGCTTCTCTAAAAATGAGCAAAAGTCCTGCTTTGAAGACTCAGAAAAAGAAACTGTTTCTGAATGATTTCTATCATGGTACTTATGCAGGGCTCACTAGCATTAAGTTAGCTTTTGTTGGCAATTCATCAGCACACCGAAATGTGTTTTGTCTTCCCTAAGTCTTGCTCCTCGGGCTTGAGATATAAAGACAATTTACATTTTGAGACGTTCTTTCTGTTTTACCTGTGTCTTTGGAGCATCCTTGGTCCCTTTTACCATGCAGTCTGCTTTTCTTGGCCTGCTTCTTTCCCACTACCTTCAGTAGGTCTATGAATCACAACTTTATGTTGAGGCTCATGATAATAATGCATTTGATCCACATGTATCCTAATTCTTTACATTCAATCTCTTATAAACTAAAGATTTTGTTCCTGTATAAAAATTGTGATAGCCAAGTTGGTGACAACGTTGGTTATTTCCACCTTGATTTCCAGTAGTTGGATGGGTGTATAGATAGCTTGGTTATTTTAAGGTATTATAACGTTTACAGTTACTTCATCATATGCAGATATTTTTTTTTAATAAATGTTTTAACTGGTGGGTATATTTCTAAGCTAGAAGTTAATATCTCTGCTATGTTAGAACTTGTTTCACTCCAAAGAGAAAAGTTGTAGGAATGCAGAGCATAAAACACAGTTCTTGGCAAATTCTATAAAGAACTTCTGAAAACTTATGTGAATATCACATTCACAGCCACCTGTAGTTCATATTTGATTTTATATCCAGAAAATTGTGGACGAATTCTTTACTGAATTGTAGGCTTATGAAAGCTGTTAATGACTTGGACCTGGTACACAGCGCTATCACAGATCTCTTGTAATGTTTTTCTTGTAATAACCCATGGCTGCCATAAAATTATGGAATGAGATCTGGGCATAGGAGTAAAACCTGCAGTAAGTTCTCATAGGCATTCAAGATAGCCTAAAGTATAGCTTTCTTCTGCCTGAGCAGGCCACAAACTGTTTTATTTTGCAAAAAAAGTTACATGCCTCTCAAAAAGAGTGAGACCTTCCTTCATGTAGAGTCCCTAAGGACTTTATTCCAATTAAAACTTTGTGACTGAGCGTTCTGAGTGTACAGGAAGCAAATAAATGGCTCTGGATACTAATTTTTGTTCTTTTAGCTAAGTTGACCCATCCAAGTGCACACTAAAAGGAAATGTTATTATGCTGGTTATACACAAAGTCTTAAAATTTCATGTTTCCTGTAAGGACTTACCCCAGAAACACAAACTTCCCTTAAAACAGACATTATTCCTTCAGATCAGGAGGGCTGGCACTTCAGTCCTCCTGCTAAAGTCAGGCTTGACTCTGTGTTATATTGAAAATAATGGGTTTCTGAAGAGGCAGCAGCTGTTTTTTTTAAATGGGATGTCCTTCACAGTCTGAGCAGGCTTTGAATGCATCTAATTTTAAAGCCATCCAGACTGTGTACCCTTCTCCCTACAGCAGAGTTTCTGAGTTTCAGGTCTGAGAAGAAAGTGAGAGCTGCAAGTGAAAACTAAAATATGGTGGTAATGACTTACCTGTCTAGGTGGCACTTCAGAAGTCTTAAAGCAACTATCTGGGAACAGCAGGCCAGTCAAGTTGTGGCTTCTACAGAACTGAACTCAAACTGTTTCAACATTTTCATACATAAAGATTAGGTCCCTTCATTTACACTTATATACACAATGATCACAGGAAGCATTTCTCTGTTGCCTAAACAGATTTGTTATGGTACGCTCTCATAAATTCATCTAGAATCCAGTAAATAGTGCCAGTTAAAATAGCAGTCACAAAACAGTATCTTCTTTCCTTACATGTTTAGGAAAATATCTCCAACTTTGATATCGTCATGGAGTCTGATGAGGGCACCTTCAAGCCATCTGGACTGGGTTTTACTGGCAATGCAAAAGCTCGGGACATCATGAAAAAGATCATGACCCTGCTGCAGCCCATCAACGTTACGGATGTTTACGCCAACGCAGATGGAACAGACATCAATTACTGGATGAGAGATGGGGTGCCCGGTGAGCGTGCTTTACAGGGGACACTGTGCAGTGGCACATCAGATAGGTGGTCTGGTGTTTTGAAGATTGTAAGAAATACTTTCTTTTCAGAAGTAAAATTTACCATAGGTAAAATGCAGCAATGTTAAAAGGTGACCAATAGAAATAGAGCATAAAGTGCATTTGAGCTGCAGTTTTATAATGATATAGATTATACGCAGCATAACATGCCTAAAATCTCCTTTTCGGCTTTAAGGATTTATAATAATTAATCCCAGCCTGGTAGTTTATAAATAGTAAACTAAGGCAGAATGGAATTATCTGATGCATAACAAATAATTTTATTATTTTAACTTTGAAATACAGAGGGTTTTGTCCCTGTTCTATATGCTGAAGAAACAGTGTTTTTGAGACATGACATTTTAAAGGTTAAGGTGTGCTAAAGGGCTAAAATTCTGCAAAGTGTGAACTGGTTTTGAAGTTTATTTGGAGCATTGTATCTGGCTCCCAGTGAGGACCAGCTTGTTGTCTGTGAGAGAGATCCACCGCTGGCAGCACCCCTGTTCAGGAGACCCCACACTAGCACAGGGGCTTGCAGAACAGAAGAGCCCCAGTTAGAGGCCAGCCTGGGTGAAACCTTAGTGAATTTCCCATGGCAGTTTCCACACTTGAATAATAGAAAGAAAAAAAGTTTTATAACACTGATATTTAAAAAATTGTGATCAGTTTTAAAATTTTAAAGTTCTTTTTCTCCGGTATTTTATTACTGATGTAGACTGGTGCGTTCCTCATGCTAGTTTTACTAGGAGCTAGTATTTGCTTAGAATCTCTTACTATTTGATTAACTGCCTTGATTTAACTGGTCTTCTGGAGTGTGGGTCATGGAATATATGCTTCCTATTTATGGTCAGAACTCTTTGCTTCTCACTCACCTGGGATGTATCAAGATACCATAAAGTTCACTGCCTCAAGAAATATATGGATGTCTAACTTTCAAAGCAAAATATCTATGCAAGGCAAGAAGTATGGATGAGTAGATATTGTGAAACAGCTAGGGATTCACCTTCAGCTGGTGTGCTGCTTTCCAGGTGAGGTGCAGGCTGTTCAGTGCAACGTCATACATCTGGGACATTGGTGTGCACTCGAGTTCCTAGGCTCTGTGGGTGCATCTTATATGAGGACCGTATGCTGAGGACCATGTGCTGAGTTGTGTTGAGAGACTGTAAGCACTGCTGGGAGGCCATAGCCATGCATTGTCCTCCACAGCCTGGAAGTGCCCATACGGAGATGTCTGGTCCTGAATTTCAAACCAACATGTTTGTGTCATAGATGCAATATGAGAGCTTACCACTGAACCTGTGTTTAGAAAATGCAAGTGTATCAGAATTATTTCCCAGGTAAGATGTTGTGAGCATTACAGATGGTCCTTGGGGACTTCCATTGTGCTTCCCATCTGAGTGAGACAGATTATGGAAGAAGAGAGAAAAAATTAACATTCAAATGCCTTGTTTTCAGTTGATAATGCTTATGATGGCAGTGTGAATTGAGCTCTTGTACACCATTCTCATCAGCTGAGGTGCATCTGGAGCATAAACAGCTAAGGCTTACATGGTCCTCTTGATGAATCACCTGGGCTACATCTGTAAAGTACACTCCGCAGGAGCAGGGCAGAAATGGAAGCCCTCTCCCATAGTCATCCGTACTCCTCAGAAAACACAAACTATGAAAAATAACATAAACAATAAGCTCAATCTTGGGAAAATATAAATACACCAGAATCAGGATCTCAGATTTTAAATAAATCTCAGTTGCTTTTTTATTAAAAATTTGGTGCATTAGTTGGTGGTGGGCTTTTTTGCTATGTGAAGCTTTGATTCATTTAACTTCTCAGTAGAGCAAATAACAAAGTGTTCTTGGAAAAAAGTGATTCTTTTTTCCCCATTAAGCCCTAGTGGGAAGGAATTAGCTCCACTAAAAGAATTTCAGCTGCTTTAGTTTGTATTTCATACTGTACCAGGAAGAAGTCTAAGACATCTTGTAAACTTCATGCCTTGTCTATTCTCACTGCTCGAATGAGCTCTTATGGTATATAATAACATTGGAACAAATTGAACACACTGTAACAGCTTTTATAATTTTGTCCAATTTAAACAAGCAGTCAAGTGTTGACACTTCATCAATTTTATTTAAATATTTTCTTAAAATACAGTTCGTGGCTTTGTTTCCGCAACAGAGAGAGAAAATGTGGTGTACTTCTTGAACAATATGAAAGGTTTCTGACACAATTTCTCTAGAATTTCCTTTTCAGTGTTAAATAGATTCTGGGATTTGCCTTTACAGATGCAATTAAAATTCTGCTCCTCCTGCTCCTTTTAATCTGAAAGATCTGCAAAGGGAAACAGTACATGTGTTTTTCAGACCTCTTCATAGCTCATTGCCTGAGACAGGCAGTGACTCTGGCTCCTTACTCTCTAAGATTTCCAGCATGTTTCTTTTAATGGGCATGCCATGAAATGCTACTTGTAATGTTACTTAAACATATTTGCAAGAAAACAGCAAGAAAACTATTCTGAGATTTTAGGATAGCAGAGGCCAGGAGTGTTCAGAGTGCTTTGTGAACTGTAGACTGATGCTAATATCTCTGAAGCATAAGAAAGGTGAGCTGCACCAAACACAGCAGTTTAATGCTTTGTGACTGCAGAGCAGTAGAAATATTTCCATCTGTGCCCTTTACATTGGATTATTTTGAGAACTGTTCAGCCCAGCAATGAGAAATGTCTGTGGCAGTGTTTTTTTATTGATAGCCAGTTTTCAGCTACTGAAAATATTTGTGTGACATTTGTTTTGCTTTTTCATGAAGCATAAATCAAATTAAATGAGGTTTTTGTGGTGTTATATTTTATGCTGTGGTTTTACAGTTTGAGGTGACCATTGGTCCTAAGACTGCTCCTTTATTAATTATCCAATTATCTTCCTCAGCTTTCTTTTTAAGGATTCAGTTACATGTTTGTTTTTAGTCAGGAATACATCTAAACTGTAGCACATGAAGCTGTTCCTTTACAGCATTAAGTCCTAATCAAGTTTGGCCAGATTTGCAAATATAGGTGGGAAGACGGATACATTTGGTTTATTTATTTGGTTTCTTTGCATGCTTTTTCACAACAGGCTTCTTCAGTGTCCAAAAGGATTAAAAAACCCATTAAACAAGCCCTGCTAGACCAGCACTCAGGTATTTTTGTTGTAAAACCAAGGTATCTGATGATCACAAGGTTGCTTTGAACATGATTTAGACCAGTTCCTAAGGTAATAGCACTGGGGCTGAGTCACCTTTCCCTGCAAACCTTCAGAACCTGAGAAGGAGAAATTAAGTGATTATATTTGTATAATGGTATCCAATGAACATTAGTTCAGCTTTAGGTGTTAGGAGAGAGGAAAATGAGGTGCTCTCCTATTTTTGCAGAGGGAAGGCAGTTGTGGCACAGTATTTCCAAGAGAGCTGGTTCAAGGATGCTCCTTTCTGCCGGGCTTGTCAGGGAGGTTTTCTGTTGTTGCAGTGCCTGTGATGGGCACTGAGCTGTATTTGAGATCAAGCTGACCCAGGACATCAAACAACTCCTAAAAGGCATGTGGCAACTCCTCTATTTAAAATCCAACCAGTGACCTAAAGGTGAAACTCCCTTTTTACAATGTCACTCTGAACCTTGATGGTTATTCGTGTCTCCCTGTCTCCACAGTGACGGTGTCTCGCTTTTTTGTTACATTACACAAGAAGAGGTATTGTTCTTCCAGAAACTAATAAACCAGTAGTTCATCTAAATTTAATGTTTCTTCAGAAATTCATTGCTAAAGCAATCTATTAGTCATTTTCTCAGAGGTGACAAACAAATACTATCATATATAATTTCTCTTATTTTTATGTTTTCACAGTGCTTCTTTATTACCTTCATCTAAAATAAGACGTGTTTTGGCACTTAGACTTTGATATGCATTATTTCATTTCTTGTTGTATAAGAGGTCAAATCCTTCAGTTCCACCCCTTTTGTGCAGCATGCTGTCCACCCATCTCCATCATCCCCTGTAGCACCAAACTCCAGTGCAAGCCTGCTGACATGCTTGGGCCAAGCTGCTCCTCTGCTCAGGGTCAGCCAGGGGCGTGTTTGAGAAAGGGATGGGAAAACAGGAAAACTCCCTGAATTGAGGTTGCCAGCTGGACATGAAGAATTGGGTAAACTCTCTATTTCCCAAATTATTATAAGTAGGTGAACTCTGTTCACCCTTGACTATGTCACTGGAAGTGGTGCTCCACTGTGATGCATGAAGCATTGTCCCTCAGGATACCTGCTTCATACTCTCTGCAGACTTGGACAGACTCTGAAATCAGTTTTTCAGCTTTTTTATGTTGCCAAAAGAATAAAAACTGTAAGGAAAAGAGGAAAAATCAGTTTCACATAGTCTAGGACTTCATAGGCCAATACTGAAAAACCTTTGGCTTAATTGTACACAGGTAAGGGACATTTCACTTGATGAAGAACTTCCTATTTTGAAAGAGAAAAAGGTTTCCTTTAAAACAGACATTAAATGTAACTTTCTCACTTTAATATGTGGCATTTATGTGATTTGTGATCTGGGATTTTTAGCATAAGGTATCACATGGAGAGCTCCAGTTATTTGACCAAGTGACTAACACAAGTGAAATGTCTCCTGCTTGCTCATGGAGCAAGATGTTGCACAAAACTCCTAAACACTACTCACAAACTAGCTTTATGCATATTATTACAAGTACTGAGATCATTTTAGTGACTCCACATTTGCTATGTTTTTGAACTTGCTGAGTTCCCGCTGCTCTGGACATGTGTTGAAGGACACCACCAACACCAGTCACTATGGGACTGGTTTATTTTTGCATGGAAATGATGAGTAAAGGGCTTGTGGCCTACAACTGAATCTTGCCTGAAGCTTGATTTCAATGAGTCTGAGATGTATCAGCACTGTTGTGTGATAATTACAATATTGTATTGCTT